GACGTCTCAGGGCGGTGGTGATATGCCTACTATGAGTGAGGCACAACAGTTGGCCCAAGCTTTGATAGTGGCTGCCCAAAACGCAGCCAGTGCGTCAGCTGCACATACCACCTTGTCTCAGCAGTTGATGACACAGTTGAGTGCGCAAAGCACTGGTGATGCTCCAGCCGCAGGATCCCCTTCGAGGACCGCAAAGTTTGCACATGCAAGCAAGATGGTTAGGATGCCAGATCCTTTCACTGCTGTTGGAGCTGAAGCAGAGCAAACAGCTTGGCCTGACTTCGAGCTCAACTTGCTAGCTTGGCTTGGAGCTGCAGATACAGAGTTTGAGACTGACTTACAATGGATCTCAGATCATGTGGACACAGAGTTTGACATGGACGTGCACTCTGATGACATGGCTACACGTAGCAAAGAACTCCACTCAATTCTGGTCGGCTTGCTACGCAACCGGTCTCTCAAAGTTTTGCGTGGTGTTTCAGGGCGCAATGGATATGAGGTTTATAGACAGCTTTTGAAGTTGTTCAAGCCGAGCACAAAGCCTAGGGCTATGGCGCTTTTGAGCGCACTCATGGGCTTGCCTACTTTTGGCAAGGACAAGTCCCTCTACGACCACATTCAAGGACTTGATCGTTTGATGTCAGAGTATCAGAAAGCTAGTGGTTTGAGCGTGCCTGATGAAGTGAGCCTCTCAGTGCTTGTTAGGTGTCTTCCTGCACACATCCGACAGCATATTCAGCTTTCTTTGGATCAGTCTTCAACATATGCTACAGTTCGAAGTCGTGTGTTGGGATTCGAAACAGTGACCAACAACTGGGCACCTTCTCGCATTCACTCTGAGTTTGGTATCATTGGCACCTCAGCCAGCTCTGCACAGGATACTGGAGGATTTGCGCCAATGGACATCAGTAGAGTTGAAACCAAGGGCAAGCAGAAAGGAAAGAGCAAGTCAAAAGGAAAATCAAAGATGGATGCTTCAAGCCACAAAGGCAAAGGCAAAGCGAAAAGCAAGTTTTCAGATATCGGTAAAGGAAAAGGAAAGCCATCAACTCAAGTTGACAAGTCTAACGTTTGCTTGTATTGTGGGAAGGCTGGACACTGGAAACGAGACTGTAGGAAATACAAACATGACCAAGCTACTGGACAAGTGCGACAAGTGGAAGGTGGGATTTCTCAACAGGCTCCACCTCCACCACCTGTGAATCAGGGTTTCTCTCAGCCACAGCAGTCTGGAGCTCAGCAACCATTGCAGCCTCATGTCTCATTTGTGCAGCCATCACCACATACCACGTTTGTTCAACAGCCCCAGCAGAACGTTGGCAATGTCAGAAGGTTTGAATTTGCCCCGGACTGGCCCGGCAGACCAGTTGATGAGATGCGTGAGGAACCTTGGATCGATGACCTGACCTCAGACTCAATCCTTGGTGGCAACATTTATAGCCTTTCAGCTGTTTCAACATGTTTGGATGCTTTGCCATGCAGTTGCACGACGTTTGACATGACATATTCTGACTGCGATGGTGTTTGGACTGTGGATACCAGTGATGTAAATCATGTTCGAGCAGTTGAAATCATCTTGGACAGTGGAGCAGATGGATCAGCTTTGCCCATGGAAGATGCGCATACAGGTGTTGCAACAGCCTCAGATGATAGACTACGTTTTGTAGATGCACAGGGAAGCCCATTGAACATTTCTAGCACTCGACTTGCAACAGTTGATTTTGGAGATTTTTCACTGAAAGAGGAGTTCATTGTGGCTTCAATAACTAGCCCTTTGCTGTCACTGGGCAAGTTGATGAAACATGGGTGGAATTTGCAAAAGGTTGACAACAGCCTTCATCTTGTGAAAGCCGACAAAGCCATTCCAGTGGCTTTCAAGCGCAACAGCCTCTGCATTTCAGGGAACATCAGAATGGTTGAAGACTCAGGTAGTGTCCATTTGCGTGCTTTGCAGTTGAGGGATTCATTGCAGCGTGTTAGAACTACATGGACAAAGCTTGGAGCTGAGTGCTATGGTATCAAGACTTACAAGCCAACATGTGTTGATGTGAGCCTTGCACCAGCTGCTAGCATGCTGTGGTATCGTACCACCCTGGTGAAACGATCTGGACGATGGCAGTTGCATGAACACAACCGTTTTGTCACAGATGAATATGCTGCAAGTTCACTCACAGCTGCATTGCCTAACCCTGGATCAGTGCAAGAGGTGATCACAATTGGACACACAAAGGAATGCACCCATGAACAGTTGGGATTCTCAGTGATTGAAGAGGCCCTGGATTTGTTAGGGCCTGTAGGTGGAAGCTCATCAAGTTCAGCAGCCCCACAACCGTTTGTTGATGCACCTGCGTTGGAACAGTTTGATGCACCTGCGTTGGAACAAGCTGATGAATCCATGAATCCTCCTTTGCAGGTGATGCCACCTGTCGATGTGCCAGACCCTTTCGAGGCTCCAGTTGCAGCTGATGAACCTGACCCACCAGATGAGGTTCTGGCTGGTGCTGATGAGATAGTGTTGGATGGCACACGCATTGATAGCACATCTTCACTTGCAGTTTTGAGAGCAGCTTGTTCAGCTTTGGGCATTTCAGTGAATGGTTCTCGAGCTCAACTTTTCAAGCGTTTGGTTCAGCATCTGCAACAGCAAGAGCTATTGGCAGCCCACTCTGTGAAACACAACTTGGGAAAAGAACTGCAAAGACCAGCCAATCAACCTGGCATCCCTGCGCAGCCTACAGAAGAAGAAGAAGTGCGAGAGCATAACGCCACACACATTCCTTTCAAAGCATGGTGTGAACTCTGTGTGGCACACAAGGGGCGTCAGGACAAGCATCATCGAGAGGGCCATGTTCAGTCTGAGCATTCTTTGGTGTCCTTTGATTTTGGCTATGTCGATCGTGGTACAGATGACCCTTTGACTGTGCTTTTCATACATGACAGGAGCACCAAAATGATGCACGCAGTTCCAACGGCAGCCAAGGGTGGCAAAAGCCTTCCTTACTTAACTCAGGAGTTATGCCGTTTTGTGACATGGCTTGGGCACCAAGCGGTTTGCTTTAGAACAGACAATGAGCCGAGTACAATTTCTTTGCTTGATGCTTGCCGTAAAGCTCTGAAGGGACTTGGAGTCCATACCACAGTCGAGCTTGTTGTGCCTGGGAACAAGGAGGCCAATGGTGGTGCAGAAATTACTGTGCAGACCCTGCGCAATCAGGCTAACCTTCTGATCGAGCAAGTCGAACGTGCAGTTGGCGCCGATGGCAAGGTGCTGTTCAGTGCACTGCACCCTTTATACAGCTGGGCCATCATTCATGCAGGATGGTTGCATTGCAGGTTTGCTGTGAGCAACGGTGAAACAGCATATGAGCGCTGTACTGGCAAGGAGTACCATGGAAAGGTATGTTACTTTGGAGAGACATGCATGGGCTACCTGAAGCCCACAGCCAAGGGACTTCCTTCTTGGCAACGTGGAGTTTGGTTGGGCAAGACACAAAACAATGATGCCCATATCATTTCCTGCAATGGTGGCCTGTTCATGACAAGGTCAGTGCGTCGCATTCCAAGTCCTTGGATCCTCTCAGAAGTTGGCAATGTTGAGATGTCCCCTTGGGAATGCTCATTTGCTACGTTGGGTTCAAGATTGATGGTGCCAAAGCGTGTCTTGAAGCCTACGGCTCAAGTTGCTCCGGCCCTTCCACCAGCAAGCGTCCAACCTGAGGCAAGCAAGTTGAAACCGGTGTTGGATGTTGAAGCTGAAGCAGTGAGAGGTTTGCCACCAACTCCCATGGAACCAGCAGTTGAAGAGTTGCCTGCCGCAGCAATTCCGGCACAGGCTCAGGCGGGGTTTGTCCCACAGCCTGGCATCATGGCACCTCCTCCAGCATCAGCAGCCCCATCTGGCCTTGCCACACCCATGCAAGATGATCAACAGGCGCCTTTGACACCTGTACCGGAAGATGAACCTGCGTCGAAGAAGGCGCGCATTTGTGTGGTGGCCGGTGTTGAATATGAACATGAGGACGACCACAACTACACGTCCTTCACCAGTGATGAGTTGGACAGCCTTGAAGAGTTTGACTTTGGCTTGACAAATGATGATGGTGATGAGCCTGCTTCTGAGGATGTGCTGGTGCAACAGCTGATTTTTCCATATACAGAGCAAGAACCACAGCTGAGTACAGATCAGTTGAAGCACCTGGATGCCATTGCAATGGAGGTGGAAACAGCCCGTTTGAAGCAGATGGGTGTTCTTCTCCCTCCTGAGAGCGTTGAAGGAATGAACCCAAAGAGACTTTCCACCAGGTATGTCATCACCTGGCGTGACAAGGTGTTGAATGGCAAGAGGTGTTGGCTCAGAAGGGCCCGATACGTGGCAAGAGAGTATGCTTGGTTGTCACCTGAACGTCAAGACTTGTTCAGCCCAGCATCGAGCAACATCACCAATCGTTTGCTGCCTTCAGTGTTTTTGCATTGGAAAATGAAACACCCTGAGAAGCAGTTTGTGATGGGCGCCATTGACATTGGCGATGCTTTTCTGACAGTTGAACAAAAACAACCCACGCTTGTTTCTTCAGGGTCAGAGACCTTTGCTCTGGGGCGTGTGCTCCCTGGGCAACGAGATGGCAGTCAGCTTTGGTTTGAGAGTGTGAGTGGATTCCTCCATGAGACGCTTGGCTTTGAACATTGCAGTGCATACCCCAGCTTGTTGCACAGTCCATGTGGTGAATGTTTGATTTTACTACACGTGGACGACATGCTTGTGGTGACAGAACAGCATTACTTCGAAGGAAAACTTCTTCCAGCCCTCAATGGGAGATACAAGACTTCAGTGCACTGCATGAAACAACCTGGGGATACGTTTGAGTTTTTTGAAGCGTATCCATGTCCTTGTTGATGATGCGACGATCCACATCCAACAGAATCCACGCCACTTTGACAAGTTGTTTGAAGTTGTTGGGGTTCAGAACACAATGAACCCAAAGAAAGTGCCTTGCCATGAAATGATGACGGAGGTAGATGACACACCATTGCTCCAGGCAGAGAAGGCATCTCGATACAGGTCGGCTGTGGGCATTTTGCTCTACCTTTCGACAGACCTTGTCGAGTGCTCATACACCATCAGGGGCTTGGCGCAGTCTATGAGTGCACCAACCGAAAGAAGTTGGACAATGATGAAACATTTGTGTTTGTACCTACTTTCAGTACGTGACTTTTCCTTGCGTCTGCAGATGAAAGTGAATGGCCTCTGGTACTCACCACCCGACGACAATGGAGTGGTGATTGAACTGTTTTCAGATTCAGACTGGGCAGCTCACAAAGGGCACAGGCGATCAGTCAGTGCTGGAATAGTTTGTTTCCAAGGTTGCCTTTTGCTTTCCACGAGCCGTACCCAGCGTGTGATTGCCCTGAGCTCTGCTGAGGCAGAGATTCATGCTGCAGTGTCTACAACATGCGATGGTTTGCTTTTGCGTGTTTGCTTGGAGTTTTGCATTGGATGCAAAGTCAGGTTGAAGCTAATTTTGGACAACAGTGCAGCCAAGCAAGTGCTTCACAGGTCTGGCGTTGGACGCATCAGGCATTTGTCTTGCAGGGTTTTGTGGGTGCAGCAGCTGGTGAAAACAAGGGCGTTGGAAACATCATCCATTCCTACAAAGGAAAACTTTGCAGACCTTGGAACAAAGAAGTTGTCAGCCGACAGAATGAGATACCTCATGCATGGTGTTGGTGTGTACGATGAAAGTGCAGGTGAATTGGCTGGTACAGATGTGGTGACAAGGGAACGTGCAGCAGATGATGTCAGAGGTGTGTTGCGCATGCTGCGTGAAAGCATTGGTGAAAGAAGCAGTCACAAAACCATGGTTGCAACGAAGCGCTCTCTGCAGACCTTGTTGCTGCTGAGTCTAGTGCATTCTACAGACGCCTTGAGCCTGACGAGCCCAATTTCCTTTTCAGTGCTTGAGCATTTGCGACTTCACGGACTTTCATGTGGGATGGTTTCAATTGTGATTCTCTTTTTCATGTTTGCCTCTCTGCTGATTGCCATGCCACCACGTCACAGCATGTTAGAAGAGCCAGAGCCAGAAGACATGGCTGGCAGTGCTGCAGCCTCTTCGAGCAGCCCTGCACCCAAATACAACAAAGCGGCAGTGTACTGTTTTCTTTGCATTTGCTTGAAACGCAGCTTAGAGCTGATTGACGAGGCAGAAGCTGAGGATGACAGAACAAAGACCAGTGCACTACATGCAATCTACGAAGTCTTCATGGATTTGTTTTGTGCGTTTGAGCGTGATGGAATCTCTCCTACAAGTTTGCAGTCGATGAAGGACATGCATGGTGCTTTGAATGTGCATGACCCAGACTTCAATGCCAGTGATTTCATGACGATAGAGTTTGACGTTGGCTTCACCACACCGACTCTTGAACCAGAGATTGAGAGCTTGCTTCCTCCTGATCCACCTGATGATTTCTTTGCTGAAGAAATGGCTCCTCCATTTGAGCCTCGAAGCCCCGAGCATATGGCAATGTGGATGATCCAACGATTGACTGAGAAATTGCGTTTTGAGATGGAGTCTGGAAATCCTGAAGGTGTGCTGAAGCATGTAGAACGAAGAGAGATCATGGTGAACTTGTGCCGATTCTGCAATGAAAGACCAGAACAAAGATTGGAAGTATGGAAAATGATGCAAAGCCTCACAGACATTTCCAGCGATGAAGAGCCAGATGACTAATTAATGTAGGAACCCTCCAATTTGAAATTGCACATGACCAAAGGTCAGCGCAAAGGCGGGGTGAGAAACATTTCAGTGATGTGACAGCTGGTAGAGCATGTGTAGTATCTGTTCTTATCTAGAGGATTGGCATAGGTATCACACACGTTTTGCAGTCACTTGCATGTTTTTGCATCTCTGGCCAAATGGCTATGATCAAGTGCAGAATCTGTCGATATCGAAGGCGTCTTGCGCTCAAGGAAAATAACGACTGATGCAGCGCACCATAACATTGGAGCAGCGTTGAGAAACCTTATGTAGAGGGCTTCACTTGTGCTCAAGCTGGGTGGCGCCCGCGAAAGCTAAAATCCAGCTCGCGAAAGCTGGGCCAAAGCTTTGCTACGACCAAGCCGAGAGACACAGTCACGAAAACCACGCGAAAACAATTCTCTCAAATGTTCGGCGCACGAAAGCGGGCAGTGTGATAGCGAAAGCACCGCGAAGGTACATGCGAAAGCACCATGTGAGTATCATGAAATATCAGACCCGGTTTTGAGCACCGCTCATTTGTCTCTTGGATTGCGGTGCAAACAGTTTGGACAGCAAAAGATCAATAGACCTTTGTCCAACTCCAGTCGCAACACCTCTTTGCAACAAATCAAGTCTGAATACCTGAAGTATCAGTGAATCGGATCCATCGTGTTCCTGGGACAGCCTGGAGAAGATCAGTTTCCTGCAGCGACGAGAAGAGATTAAAACAACTTTGCATCGCAAGGGTCTTGAGAAAATGTGCTGCATCTAGAAACCCAGTTTATGCCAAGAGCATGGCCGAAATAGCTTGCGTGTTTCCACGTGCGACCTTCTTCCCATGATTCCCAGCACCCGTTTCATTCCATTGTTCAAGGAGTTTGATCACGAAAGCTAGCTTCTGCTAGCTGAAGTCCCTCTTGCTTTAGCAAGGTATTGGGGGGGCTGGAATCTCCAACCGCATGAAACTTCATACTTAACAAACCCCCCCGGCCCTTCCCCAGCCTGGGCTGGCTGGTTCACCCGGGCAGTTTGGCTGTGGCTCCATCCCCCGGGGACACCGTCGGCATGTCCTCAGCATCGTTGTGTCATGTCAAGCTCCCTGCCAAGCTAGTTTTCGTCCCTTACCCCGCATCAAGTTGGGCAGACAGCTCGTAGTTGGTAAAATCAACCATGCAGAATTTCGCATCCCAAGCAATCAGGCTCTTTGGAAGGTAAACCGCTGTTTGTCATAGATGTCCAAAACAAATGAGAACCTGTCGCATTCACTTGGGTCAATCCTGGACTTGGACGTTTCCACCATGCGAAGTTTTCACCATGAGACCTTTTCACGGAGCTCGGCTGATGCAACAGGTAGCTTGCTTGTGAGCTGCACGCTGGAATCACAGTTTGTTCATTAATGAACTACACGAGATTGTTGGAAACTGCAGATATGCCGTACCTATCTATATAACGTATCAAAGGATACAAACAGAGCTTCTAATCACACGAGTAGTGCAAACAGTTTCCCAGACCTGCAGAGACGCCATGTGGTTTCCAAGTTGGCAACTTGACAATTCCCCTTTGCTGACCTTATCTTCGATATGGGGCTGCAAAACTGTCAACCTGCATCACTGCATCACTGTCAGTCAGTATATCTTTAGACTTTAGACTTCTCGTCTCGGACGGATGACCTGCTTCAACTGGCCAAAGATCTCTGAATTGCTGATCAAGTGCACGGTGGCCGGGAAAGATGTCCTTTCTGTTGTTCAAAGCAGGATGACTAGATGCAGTTTTTCCTATGTCCATGTTTGCTCACATAAATGTCTTTGGTCTACCGTACGGGTGGACAATCAAAGTGACAATACGTGCATTTCTGCACCCATTTTTTCTCCCAGATGAGTAAAACATGCAGGAAGATCTACTTTCAAAGAGTCCAGGACCCTCCTAGCTTTGGCGACAGATCAGTTGTCAACAGGTGCAGTGCCAAGCTCCTCCACAGGCTCCAGCACCCTGCCGAAATGTCCTCTCGGCAGTCTCCCGGCTGTCTCCCGGTTGTCTCTCGGTTGTCTCTTGGTTGTCTCTTGGTTGTCTCTAAGTTGTCTCAAGTAAAACAAGCAACTTATGCAGATACATTAATGAAATTTAATGAGTAAAGAGGTCCTCATGAGGATGTTGCCCAGCTTTGTTCGCCAAAGTTGCCAGACCGGCAATGCCGGACCAGAAAGAAGAAGTCACTGGAAAAAATGGTCTGATGGGATGGTGTTGCAGGGTATATCGAACATTAGTTTTGTTGGATACCTTCGGTCCAAAGAAATAGTGTTGGCCAGTGAACAGAGCAGTTACAAAATGCTGCATATTTTGGCATCTCCAGATACAGATGTACATAGATGTGTAATAATATGGCAACCCAAGAATAGACGCTTTCTGGGCTGTCGGTAGGGTTTGTGATTTGCCCCACGTCCCGACGTCCCCAATTGTGACATTCAGCAAATTGAGGACGGGAAAACGATGATGGCCGCTATGCGTTCAGCGCCTCTAATTTGACAGAATACAATAAGGAATGCAATCAAAGAGAAAAGGAATGTGAAGTGTGTAGGTGTACAGTGAAGATAGGGCATTGGTCACCACATGTGAAGACAACAAAAGCATATGGAAATGATGGAAGAAATGAGTGGTGGTGGTGATGAAAAGATGTGGAAAATGTGGATGATGCTACTAAAATTGCCCTTTGATGGCCCCTCGTTCTGTAAAGAACAGGGCTACAAACTGAAACAACATCTCCCTTCAGGTCCCTTCACGCCAATCCTCTAAATAAAAAACCTTGCCCGTGTTGCACGTTATCGAGGTTGTGTCGTAATTGATCTAGACTCAGGTGGATTTTGGGGTCGCAAATGAGCCAAATGTGGTGTCGTAAATGATCCCCGTGGCTGGAACAAGGGTGGACAATTTTCCGAGGATGTGTTGTTTTGTGACATTTTGAGTCTTTCCCCGATCTTGGTTTGGCGCTGTTGTTGAATTTGTTTTCACATTTCATGTTTTTGCTAGCGGGTGGAAAACCGCGCGTGTAGACGTGCTACGTTTTGAATATGTGGGTTGGGTGGGGTGGGGTGGGATATTAACGTTCATGTACCTTGCGTACATACGTGGATGCTACGCTGCTGCTACGTCACTGGTCAGGGGTTGGGTGGGGTGGGGTGGGATATTAACGTTCATGTACCTTGCGTACATACGTAGACGTACTGTCAGGGGTTGGGTGGGGTGGGGGTGGTGTTCATGTATGCGTACATACGCGGATGCTACGCTGCTGTACGTCACTGGTCAGGGGTTGGGTGGGGTGGGGTGGGATATTAACGTTCATGTACCTTGCGTACATACGTGGATGCTACGCTGCTGCTACGTCACTGGTCAGGGGTTGTGGTGGGGTGGGGTGGGATATTAACGTTCATGTACCTTGCGTACATACGTGGATGCTACGCTGCTGCTACGTCACTGGTCAGGGGTTGGGTGGGGTGGGGTGGGATATTAACGTTCATGTACCTTGCGTACATACGTGGATGCTGCGCTGCTGCTACGTCACTGGTCAGGGGTTGGGTGGGGTGGGGTGGGATATTAACGTTCATGTACCTTGCGTACATACATGGATGCTGCGCTGCTGCTACGTCACTGGTCAGGGGTTGGGTGGGGTGGGGTGGGATATTAACGTTCATGTACCTTGCGTACATACGTGGATGCTACGCTGCTGCTACGTCACTGGTCAGGGGTTGGGTGGGGTGGGGTGGGATATTAACGTTCATGGTACCTTGCATGTACCTATGCGATGGACGTGGATGCTACGCTGCTGCGACGTCACTGGTCAGGGGTTGGGTGGGGTGGGGTGGGATATTAACGTTCATGTACCTTGCGTACATACGTGGATGCTACGCTGCTGCTACGTCACTGGTCAGGGGTTGGGTGGGGTGGGGTGGGATATTAACGTTCATGTACCTTGCGTACATACGTGGATGCTGCGCTGCTGCTACCCTAAACTGACCTCTGAACACAATCTGCTTCATGAAGCTTGCAATCATAGTAAGGGCATCTTCTGCATCACCAAGAAAGAGGAATGGGGAAACTTGCTAGTGCACACCGGTGGCATCGATGGAATGTGGAAAATTTCCAAAGGTGCAGTATCATCCTCTTGGAGCACACGTAAAGATGGTGCTGTGAACCCTGAATTGCTTCAAGGAATAAGGATTTGGCAATGGCGATGGCACCATGGAATTTCCACTGACTTCCTCAGTCTCACCGGCCGCGCTCTGAGCAAACGCTTGGAGAAGTGACACGCCAGCGAAGAACAAGGAAAAGGCTTCCAGGCCGCCACAACCACAAAACCCTGTAAATACCATGACATTCCTTCAAAGTCATTCAATTTTCCCTGGGAAAATTTAAGGTAATGTTCATCATAAAATGTGTACGGCGCCACAGCGCCAGAAGAGTTTCTTTTCAAAAAGTGTTCAACCGCTAGCGCGGTTTCCCACCCGCCGGGATGTTTTTGCAGTGCTGTGTTGTATTTGGCCAAAATGAAACCAACGAAACTTGCATAAGAAGGTGTTTGAAACAACAAATATGGGTATGGGTTCCATGCCCCTTGGAAGAAACATTGATGTTTAAATTTTAAACGCCGTGGCCAAACATGATGATTTGGGTCAACGTTTGGATTGAACCATTCTCTTGCAATTTCCAAACTGAAAGGAGGCAACTGTTTGAATCATTGTGTTTGTCGTGGCTGATTGGAAACCGAGTTTTGCAAACGGTCGCTGGCTTCCGTTCCATTGGCTGGAAAACCAATCATTTTTTCTTGTGAAGGTATATAAACTACGCCAAAATTCAATGACATTTTGTTTTGGAACAATTGATACAAATGGTTGCATCTTCAAAACACAATTAATAGTAGCAGATCCTACCATGCATTGAACATTAGATACGCATTGGATATTGGATGTTGTGTTTTTTTTCTGGGGTTTTGTACTCGC